GGTCCCCAGTGGCTTCCCTCACCAGGGCGTAACTCTGGGTGTGGCGCCTGCAGGCAGAAAGTGCTGGAGAAACATAAGCTGCCAGGATAAATCTGCTCTTTGGTTCTTCCTTTAGAACCCCTGTCCCTCGCAGGCTGGATCTGGGGGCTCTAGATGCCAGGCCTTCTGCTTGTTCCGCATACACACACCCCCATCTCTGCTGGTTTGTTCTGGGTGGTGGCTCCTGCGCTGGCTGTGTCCCCAGCTCTTTGACCCCACTCCTGCAGGTCTGAAAACCTTGCACTGGTCAGATCTTGGGAGCACTCTGATGACAGTGCTAGGGACGGGACAGAGCGCACGTTTTTCCCTTTTCCTTTTGCTCCCGCCCTGTTCCTGGCTGGGTCCTCTCCTGCTGCAGGCCGTGGAGTCAAGCGCTCCAGAGGCTGTTTGGTCGTCCCTTCTTGTGTCTGCATCCTAAGGAGCTGTCCTTTCCTTGCCTTCCCAGGGCTCTCTCCTCCTCTGCCAGGTCAGAGGGCCTCAGGGCAAAGGCAGGGGAGCAGGGGGGAGCAGGAGAGAGCAGCTGGGGTCCCCCTGTGGGGGGGGGTACCTGGAGTAAGTGTGCATTCCCTGCCAAGGCGAAGCAGCCCCTCCCTCATCCTGGGCTCCCCACCAAGGAGCAGGAAGTCACCAGCCACAGAGCAAAGGTCTCCAGGCTGCCAGGGTCCTGTGCTCCCTGGAGGGGACTTCCCCAGGTTGGCAGGGACAGCAGTTGGAGCCCCTGCTGTTGCTCACAGTCCCTTACTCTCATCTGTCGGATTTTCTAAATGGTCCTGTGGACGTCAGCCGAGTGCCCAGTGCCCACCAGATTCCTTGGACTTGTGCTCTCCCCGTGTGGTGACTCTTCGCCTGCTAGGGAAAGATCATACTTTTCCTAATGTAAAGAGCATCCTTTAGGAATCGTGTACTTTCCCCAGATCTTTTGCAACATTGAGGGGGGTGGCGGGGGAGAGAGATATCACTGCATTTTTATTGTGTCTATTGATTTGATAACTGTTATCTTAATTTCTTTAATATTAAGTTGGACTCAGGCCCCACACTGATCTGCCCTGGGCCCGGGTAGGTCTTGCTTTTAGTGTATTTTAAATTAGATTTTCCAGCTACAGCTTTAGCATGTGAGATGTGTCAGCTGTTTTCTTTTTGTGTATTTTGGTATCAAAATTATATTGATTTTCCTGTTCTTCTTGCTCCTGGAACAGTTGATTTAACATGGGGCGTCTATTTCTCAATGAAAGAGCTTGTGCAGTTTTTCCTGGTTTAAGAAGCTCTTTGAATATTTAAAAAATTTTCCAGTTTTCAAATGTAATTCTACCACTTTCTACCTGTTCTTGAATCAACACTGATGAGCCCAGTAAGCCCCTAGTTTCACAAAAGTGTCAAAACTGCATTAGCTTTTGGCTTTACCACGTATTTCATGATTTTTCCTCTCTCATATTTGTTGCTGTGTAACTTTTCATGCTGTGATTTTACTTGGATCTTTCTGGACTAGAGTTGCCGGTCGCTCATGGATTTCATGGTTTGCAGAGTGCCCCCCTCTGTGGTGGGGGTCACCAGGCCAGTGTGCATTTCCCCTGCCTCACCCTGACCCATTATCTCTCTTACTTTAATGCCTAACTTTTCTAAGTTTTTCAGTTTTTTTCCTTTCCCTTTTTCCCCAGTCTGTTGAAGTAATGAAATTATTTATAGTGCTTTGGAATTTATCCCCGAGGACAACTTTGATTAATTAATTCCTACGTAATTGAGATATACAATGTTCTCACTGTCATTTTCTTTAAATTTATTATTTCACACTTGCATTCTCCAGGAGAGTGGCTTTGGCTCAGGAGTGATCTAGGGCACTCTGCTTCAGGGTGCTATTAGGTACTGTTTTCTTGGAGTTTGCATGGGAACATGGGACCTACCAATTTCAGCTTTGGTGAATCAGTTAATGGGTGTGTGCATGTGTGTGTGTGAGATCTAGCGTGGTTTATATTTACGACTGCTTCGTGAATACCCCGAGGCTGTATATTGGTCTGAGACAGCACCCAGCATAGGGCTGATAATCTAGTAATTGCAGTTGTGTTGTTTAAATTTTCATCTTGGAACACAGTCCTGCCTAATGGAAAAAGCAAAGGCTCGGAGTCCAGATCGGCCGTGGTGCCCCTGCCTGGCCTGCAGCACGTCACAGTGAGTGGTGGCTTCACTCGTCACCCTGTCCCTCTTGGCTCTAAGTGTCTGTGACTGTACGTGGGTGTCCTCAAGTGCTTGTGTTTTCCTTCCTTATGGAATCCAGGCTTCCAGTTTGTGCCCTTGGTCACCATCGTCCTTGTCCCTGATTTCCTTTCCTCTGCAGTTGGGGCTCGTTGGGGCTCCAGGTCATTCATGTGTTGCTATTTGACAGTGCCTCAGTGCCTGCTCCCTGAGGCAGCCTGTGTTCCCAGGGTCACTGTGCTCACCACACAGCGTCACTTACCACCACCCCGTTCTAAGCAGCAGAGTGGAGCGCCATGCCCAGCAGAGGTGTACACGTGACAATGTGACAGGTCCCGTGTGCAGATTTCAGCTTCCCTGACACACAGCGATGCCGCTCTGCCGTCCCACGTCACCCTCCCTCCTTTGATCTATTTATTTAGCCTATAAATGCTGCTGGTAGGTTTGGGCTTCACAGCACCCACCCCCAAAATACGAATTAAAAGGACAAATTGGAATAGGTGGCCGTTCTGCCCACAGCACGTGGAAGCTCCCTGAGGGCAGTGTTCATCCACATCTTGCACCAATAGGCGCCCCTGGAGCTCTTTTCTCTGGTGGTCAGTCCTGTTCTGGGGATGGTTTTCCTCCAGGTGTTCAGGTGCATCCTCTGTTGTACTAAGCCCTGTCTTTCCCCAGTTTTCACTTCTTATCATGGAGACTGCGGGTCCCAGCGCTGGCCAGGCACCAGCAGGTGTGGTGTCCCGGGGGCCTTCTCTTCCCACCTGGGTCTTAGGATGGTCAGTTGTCGGGTGAAGTGTGGGGCAGCCACGTCTGGTTTCTAGGAAGCCGTTAGAGAAGGGTGCTGCGGGACGAAGCTTTTCTCCCCTCCTTCCTTTTGCCAAAGCTCTCGATCTGATGAGAAGGGTTTCTAGTGTGCAGCCTCTCGCTCGGGGTGGATGGTGTGCAGTGCTGTGTGCAGACCCCGGTCTCTGGCTCTAGGTGGACGGTGTACAGTGCTGTGTGCAGACCCTGGTCTCTGGCTTGGGGTGGACGGTGTGCAGTGTTGTGTGCAGCTACAGCTCTTCTGCCTTCCCTGGCAGGAGCTCCCCAGGAGTGCAGCCTGCGTGGCCACAGCTCTGCTTCTTCATCCCCCTTCCTGGGGCTGTGGTCACCACACTGCTGTCTAGGTATGTCCTGGTGGATCATAGCCATCCTTGTCCTTTAGAAGACTGTGGACTTTGGTCTGTCTCTAGGTTCATGATACTTCAATGGGAAATTGAACAAAAGGAGATTATCTTCGTCCTTCTTCACCTTGAAGTCAGGATTATTCCAGGCCCATGGCACTGGAGCCCTCAGGGTGCTCGCTCCCTGATGTCTTCCAGATCCGGCTCTTAAGCCAAAGCTACTCGGTAAAGGCTGGAAAGTGCCTTGCCCTTGTTGGAGGAGCTGGGTTTGACGCCTGGTTGTGGCGTTCCCTGACAGCCCTCCTCCACGTGGAGCCTTGAGAGAAACACAGGGCTCTTTCTGCCTTGGGCGCAGAAAGAGGACATCGGCCCTGGATGCTCCTGTTGCAGGGGTGAGCAGCACAGCCTGAAATGGTTTCGCCTGTGAGCATGAACTTGTCACATTTCCTGGGAGCCAACTCTGGTGATGAGCTCCTGCTCCTCTTTGGAGTGAGTGGGGACAGAGGGCAGTCACGAGTCAGGGAGGTGATGTCACTACCTGTTGATTTCCTTGCTCTGCTTTGGCCACTGATGTTTCCCACTCTGACGTGGAGTAAGAGTCAAGCACTTCCCAAGCTCATTGTTCTTTATTTATAATACACGTAAAAACCCTGTGCTCCTGTCAGCTCCTGGGAGGTGGCTGGTGACTGCGGTGTGGGCTGGGGGCTGCAGCCAGGCAGAATGGCAGGGCTGCCTGGGAGAGCTGCCTTCTCAGGGACGTGTGGGGCAAGGCAGGAGCCGTTTCTGGGCGGTCTCGAGGATCACTGAGGGGGTGATATTGCACCTGTGGAGGGAGGACACCACACCCTGCTCACCCCAGGGAAGACCAAGGATGGGGCACCTTGAACAGGGAGCTGTGAGAGGGAGCTGCTGTGCCCCATGGAACCCTGCTCGCCTGGGACACCAGCTGCCTAGGTGTCCCAGCAGCCTGTGCCCGGTCCTGCCCTCCCTCCCCTGTCCTCTGCCTTCTAGGAGTCACCCAGAGGGTCACAGACAACCACATTCTTTGTTTCACATTTTAAATGTATTTAAACAGGTGATATGATGTGCTTCCAAAATAATAAAAAATATGTATATACATAGATACACACATATATAAATATATTTAGGGGAGATTCTGTGAATAAGGCAGAGGGGAAAGTGCCAGCGGGCTGTCTCTCCGCAGGACAGCAGAATCTGTCTGATCAGATCTCAGAGCTCCAGGTTACTGGGGGCTTGCAGCTTCCTGGGGCAGGATCCGATGGTCGATTGTGCCCGTGGGTGACCCACTGTGGTCTGCACATACCACGAACTGTAATTCACCCTAGAAAGGAAGGGCATTCTTTTTTTGCAGGGAGGGGTACCGGGGATTGAACTCAGGTGCATTCGACCACTGAGCCACATCCCCAGCCCTGTTTTGTACTTTATTAAGAGGCAGGGTCTCACTAAGCTGCTTAGGGCTTCACTTTTTGAAGCTGGCTTTGAACTTGCCATCCTCCTGCCTCAGCCTCCAGAGCCGCTGGGATGACAGGCTTCACCACCTCACCCAGCAGAAAAGACATTCTTTAAGTATCTGTTTCATGTTGTATTTATTTTATTTGTAGAATAATTATTTTTTTGTATACTTAAGCTGTACAACATGACAATATGGGATACAGACAGATAGTAGAAATGGTAATAGCACAGAGACACTGTATTTCTGCTTGTGTACTGTGGCCCCAGAAGAGCCACAGGCCATTGCAATATAGAAAGGTTACTATAAGGAAAGGAAAATGACAGACCCATCATCTCAGTTACCCTTTGTTGTAGAGCAGCTGAAATGTCCCTGTGTGGTGAGGGTCCCACATATAGCACAGCTGTATTATTGATAGCTCCAGGTGATATTCCAGATCTCTAGGCTCTTCCTGTCGGGGGCTACAACAGGATGGAGAGTGGGTGTGATGCTAAGTGAACAAGCCAGTCACAAGGACAGTGGTTGCGGATTCCACCCGGGAGGCACTGAGAGCATCGGATTCGATGGGTCCACCATGCGGCCAGCGCAATGGTTTCATTAATGAGGTTCTTGGCATAAAAGTTAGCTAAAAGAGATTGAAATAAAACACACAGACTCAGTTACCTTATTTCTATTGCCAGGTCCGAGACGGCTCCCCTCTCCTCTAACCGCCCAGCAGGGCAGCAAGGATTACTCAGGACTAGCAGGAGAGAGAGAGAGTGAACACGCCTGGGAGTAGCTTTTTATTGGAGAACAAGAGATTCAGGGGAGAATTCCATCCAATGAAGGTTGAGGGGGGACTGCACTCCAAGGTCAGGGTCAGTGATTGGGCCCCCGGGGTCAGTGGTCAGTCACACCCCCACACGGACGGGTTCTCTCATCAGGAAAGGGCCGGGAAAGTTCCGACACAGCCAGAACGCCTCAGACCCTTAACGGGAGCCGCCCAGTCACGTGTCAGGATGGCTTCCCACAGATGGGGAGGTGGTGGCTGGGGCTGGGAGGAGGGGAGGAGCTCTGCCATCACTTTGGATGTTTTGTAGCAGGAGAGAGTCCTGGAGATCACAGGTAGCCACCGTTGTGCAGCACAGCATTATGGGTATCTCTAACCCTGTTAAGTTGCACGTTGAAATGGCCCACATGGTCAATTTCACGTCATACAGTCTTACCACAATTTTTAAAAAAACAAAAGAATTCTGTGAGAATCTCCGCACCCTAGTCCTTTGCCCTCCTGCCCAGACTGTGCCATGAATAAACCCCTGTTATTAGTTGTTTGGGGGAGGACACACTTCCAGATATTTTGATTAAAATATTTATTTGAGAAATGATATGGATATTCTCCTTGATTGTTTTCTGGCCAGATTGTGGCACACTGTAACGCACCTCTGTACCTTGCTTTTGCACACCGTGAGAGTCGGTCTTGAAGACCTTCCACACCTTCCCGTAGATCCCAAGACCTCTTACTTGGCGTTAGCTGTTGGGTACTCCCGGTGCCCCCCATTCTGCCAGCAGGTCACCACCAGCCTTCCTGAATGCGTCTTCCTCCGTCCTCTCCAGGGTTCCCAGCCAGCCCCACGGTCTTGCAAGATCCCAGACTCAACATGGCAGCCACGCCGTGCCTTCCCTCTGGTCCTCTCAGTCCCCGCATCTGGTCTGTCCGTGCAGCACCCTTGCCTGGCTGAGCTCTGCCTCCCCTCCTCTGCCCTGTCCTTCCCTTCCTACTGTCTTACCTCTGCCCTTCCTGGGGCAGTTCCGTCCTTCCAGTCCAGCCCGTGCAAGGTCATCAGGTCTTGGGCACACAGGGCACTGAGCCTGGGCGCTTGCACTGTCTGTGGAGGGCCAAGCCCTCAGCCTGCCCTGACTCTGGGCCTGTCTCCTCCTCCCTTCTTCACAGGACTCCTGGTCCTGCTCCCAGGCCCTCTCTGTCCCTCTTGGTGTCCTGTCCTTGCTCAGGCCACTCTCCTTGTCCCTTTATGGCTTGGTAGTGTCTTTCCTTCCTTTGAAGACTCACTGCAGAGCTGTGAGAATGACCTTGGAAGCCCATCCCTTTGCCTCGTCCTGCCTGAGCTCAGAGCCTCTAGGTCATCAAGCCACGGCCTGGTTCTGTCCTGGTAAAGGCCGGCCGAGCTGTGCCTTCTGCCCCTCTGTTGCCCCAGGGAGTCACCCGCTCAGCGGCCCTTTGCAGGCGTGGCTGGGGCTTGGTGATTGGGACGGAGGCTCACATGCATTTTCCTCACCGCACACGCCCTGGCTGCCCCTTTCTGTCCCCCCTTTTTCCGTGTATTCTTTCCTTCCTTGTATTTTGCAGTGGTTTTATGATGGTTCTACCTCCTGGTAAGACGTTGCAGCTGGCTGGTCTTAATGAGCGCTGTGCAGTCCCGGCCCTCCTGCGGCTTCCTGCCCTAGTTCAAGTTCGTCCCTGTGACTCGGGGAGCAGTGGGAAGCAGCAGCTCCCTGCACTTCTTGCTAAGTGGATCATGACATTTGCAAGCTGGGGAGGGAGAAGGAGGCTGGGTAGGAGTGAGTTCCCTGTTTTCTGCAGTGACCTTCTTGTTCAGGTGCATAAAACAATTTAACCCAATATTTTTTTTTTTTTTTTTTTGCATTTAGGACTCCTCTGCTTTCCATGGAAGGTAGCGGATCTGGGAGAGGCTCAGGTTGTCTTTGGGAGCACAGGATTTGGTGAGGATGGTGTCCTCTGACCCGCTGGGCTTGCGCAGGCCTCCCTTATCAGACAGGTCTTCTGTGGGGACTGGGCCCCGTGGGAATGGGCCGTCTGTGGAGAATGCTGAGACCCTGCAAGTGGCAGTTGGGGCAGTGTGTGGCTTTTAGCAGTCGTCATTCGCATTAAAATTCCTGAAGGCCTTCTCCCCTAATTTCCCAGACCAACGTGCCATCCAGAGAAGACCCACGGCATGTGCTTGAGGCAGCTTCCAATCCAGAGCTTCTCAGTCCCTTCTCCTCCTGATCCTCCTCCTAGCAGCCAACCCACAAGAGCTTTTAGATCTCGTGTCTCTCCGGGCGCCCTACTCACGGGGAATGGTAATGGCACAGAGACACTGTATTTCTGCTTGTGTACTGTGGCCCCCGAAGAGCCACAGGCCATTGCAATACAAGAATATTTGCCCCTTAAGAATCCGCTTTGCCCATATCGGGGCTGCTATGTTCTCTGTTGAGTGTGCACACTCTGGTCAGAGACCTTTGGCCATCCAACCCCAGCTGTGCCTAATGGAGGTGACTTGGGGTGAGCAGAGGGCTGGTGTCCATATGTGACTGTGCCTGTCTGAGGCTTGGAGTCACCTGGATCACCTGGAAGATGTCGAATGCCTAGAAAGTGGCCCAATCCTTCCCTGTCTTCCCTTTTTAAAGTACGGGTGACTCTTTGGACAAACATCCTGTTCTGCATTCAAGGTAATCTTCACTTCCTCCTTAAGGAGGGCGGTTATTAGATTCAGAGGCACAGCGATTTACAGCCATGGGTAGGACGGCCTGTTGCTAACCAGAACAGGCGGCCAGGACACATGGTGCCCTCTCTGCCTCTGCAGGTGGCCAGTAGGGCTCCGTTTAGTGAGGATTTGCTCATCTGAATGGCAAGACGACCGCTCTTGGCTGCTTGACTTCGCTCTGATGCTTACCAGGGAGGGTGAAATTCTGGATCCCTGCCTCCTGCTGAGTGTGAGGGAGAAATTGATTTCCTCACAGTAGTTCATCGACTGTCCCGCCCCATTTGGTAGCTTAATCTTTCCTTACCCACTCACTTGCCACGCCTCCCTGATTCACTCCAAAGTTGTATCCGCACTGGGATCTGTTTCTGGACTATTTGTTCTGAATTATTGACATCTCGGTGATGACGTCTGCCTGGATTTTGGAGATAGGGTTTGAATGACTGTCCTCGGAGGCAGACGCACTCTGAGAGCGGATTGACTGATGGGCCTGCATTGTGGCAGACTCCTGTGTGCAGACACCCGGGCTGTCTCTGCTGGCCAAGAAAATGTTGTGATGGGCTCCTGGAGGAGGTGCCCTCTCTAGCAGTTCCAAGGGTGCAGAATGCCACCCTGACGATTTACCAAGGCACCAACAGTGCCCTGAAAGCTCAGTTTTGTCTGTGAAGTCAATTAATTCCACCTTTTGGGTAGTACCAGACATACCATGAAGGATCCAAGAAATGCTGAATTGCAAAGGGAAACCCAGCAAGAGACAGCACATCCTCTCTGCACTGCACAAGTACATCCCGAGTGCTGGGTACAGAGTGGACTATACAGAGACGCTGCAGACCCGGTCCCTGACCTTGCAGAACTCCCAGTCCAGGTGGGAGACAGGTGTGCAGGTCAGGGGATGGGATGTAAGGTGCATGTAGTTAGTAGGAGGTGCAGAAGAATGTTTGACCAACTCTGCCAAAAGACCAGGAAAGGTCAGAAATAAAAAAAAGGAGAACACAACGTGTCATCTCTGTCCTCGAGCACAGATGGTGCTCCCCAGATGGGGGAGGGCACCCAGGGGGAAAGAAAGGGTGCCGAAGAGGGAGGGAGGTGGGAACATGGTGGGGCCTCTGGGTATTGGCAGACATGCTCTTATGGCTTGGATGTGAGGTGTACCCAGGAGCTCCTGTATTAATTCAGGACTTGGAAATGACTGGATTATGAGGGCTGTGTGGATCCATCCTAGTTTGAATGGACTTACAGTGTGGTAACTGTAGGCAGGTGGGGTGAGGCCAGAGGAGAGAGGGTCACTGGGTGGGTCCTGGAAGGTGTGTCTTCCCAGTGTCCCTTTCTCCCCGCCCCCCCTCTGCTTTCTGATCCCACCATGAACTGAGCAGCTGTCCTCTGCTGGGCCCTTCTGCCATGATATTCTACCTTACCTCGGGCAATGGAGTCGGCCTGAGACCTCTGAAACTGTGGAGCCCCAAATATACTTTCTCTCCTCTAAGTTGTTCTTGTTGGGAATTTTAGTCACAGTGACACAAAAACTAAGTAAAACAGATGCCACTGAAGTTTATAGAGCATGATCGGATTTGCTTTGTGGGGAGGTGATCTCAGCACTGTATGGAAGAGAGCTTGAGGTGAGAGTGTGTGGAGAAGGCCATTCCACTGGTCATGTGACATTCATAACTCGCGGTATTGACCCTTAGACTTGTTGTCCCTCCATGGTTGTCAGAAAGGGAACCAGCCATTGGAATATGAGGCAGATGGGGCAGCCACAGGTAGTCAAGAGGTGAGACTTGGTGGTTAAACTTATGTTGGGTGACAAGGTGAAGATGACACTTCTATCAGGTACAGCTGTGGAACTTGAGGTCCGGGGAGGAGCATGTGTGAGGTGTGGCCATGTTAACTAGGAGGTACTGGTTCTGGGTGGGCTTTTTGGTGGAAATACAGTTGTGCATTGGTTAATGCCAGGAATACACTCTGAGATAGATATCAGTACCCTGTAGAGTGTACTTATGCAAACCTAGAAGGTATAGCTGAGAGCCTGACATGGTGGCCTTGTGCATCTGGACCCGATTAAACTCTCACTCTTAGTACGATAGAACAGTTTCATTGACAAATTTGTCACTAATGCTTCTCAATTTGCTTATTTCTGTCTTATTAGTCGGCTTCACATGGCCGTGATCAAAAGACCTGACAAGACCAACTCAGAGGAGGAAACATTTCTTTTGGGCTCACAGTTTCAAAGGTTTGGTCCATGGTCCTCCAACTCCATTGCTTTGGGCCTTAGGTGGGCAGAACATCATGGTGGAGGGGTGAGGTGGGCCTTAGGTGGGCAGAACATCATGGTGGAGGGGTGAGGTGGAGGGAAGCAGCTCAGCTCATGGCAGCTGGGAAGCAGAGTGACAGAGAGGAGCCAGGGATGAGATGCTGTCTCTGAGGACACTGCTCCAGAGACTCACCTGCTCCAGCCACGCCCCACCCACCTACAGGTTCCAGCTGGTTGTCTGTACCAGTTGTTAACCCATCAAGTGTCAGTCTATCCACCAGCAAGGCTACAGCTCTCATAATCCCATCCTCTCACCTTGGAACATTCCTGCATTGCCTAACGCAGTGCTTTGGCAGGACACGAAAGAGCCAAACAACAACTATCGGCTACTGTACAATAGGCTATAGGGTGTGTGTGTGTGTGTGTGTGTGTGTGTATGCGTGGGCATGTGTGAATTACAGCCTGCTGCTTCTAAGGCCACGACACAAAAAAACAACTTGAAATTAATCCAATCACGAGAGAAAAACGATGCAAGCAGGAGGTGTGAACACGAGGTGTGAGGCTGCTTCTGCACAAGCGGCCCCCTGCTCTTCACTTTCAAGTAAAGGAAAGGGGTGGGCAGCCCACACGCACCAGAGCACTCACCTGTTACCGCTGTCAAGCAGTCTGTACTGGACATGGGCATGACCGGCAGCGCAGTGCACGGTGTGTCTGCACCAGCGTCTGCACAGATGTGCTGATGGTGCATTGGGCTGGGACACTGCAAGGATGGCTGTGTCACCAGGCGATAGGAACTTTTCACTTCCTTGATAATCCCTTGTGTGTGCCTCGCTGACCAACGCAATGTTCGGGGGCATGTGGCTGTACTAGGGTTAGGAATGTGGGTAGTAGATATGCCAGCAATGCTGGTTTCTCCTGGTACTGGGGTGTTGTAAGGACGTTGGACAATTTCCAGCAGTGCCCCCAGCTCTTGTTCACTTCCTGAGGTCAGGCCAAAGTGAAGAGGGTGGAGGTGTTTACTGCTGGGTGCGGGAGGTCAAGTTCAGCCACTTTTCCACTTACAGCCGTGTCTCTTTCTTTCAGGAGATGGCCAGGTGGATTTTGATGAATTCATGACAATTCTTGGGCCCAAACTGGTGTCTTCAGAAGGTCGTGATGGTTTTCTTGGAAACACAATAGATAGCATATTCTGGCAGGTAAGAACATTTTTTTAAAGGTTAAATTTGACAGGAATGTGTGTCTGGAACTGACTTAGTCTGAGATCTTGAGCTTCTGTGCAGCACATGAGCTCTCTTCTGAGAACGGGCGACGTGCCTCAGTTAAGGTCCATGCTGCGTCCTCTGATCGAGGAATGGGAACTCCACTCATTTGAGGTTCAGAGGGGTAGGACATCTCCCCTCTTGATAGCAAGACTTTTGCCTTGGGGAGAAAGGAGATTCCTCCACTTCTGATTCTTTTTCCTGGAGACATTTAAAAAGATACCTTGATCTCTGACCCAGTTCTGTCCTTGACCCTGGTTCCAGGAGGTCCTTGCTGAGGGCCTGGCGTGGTGGCCTTGTGCATCTGGACCCTATCACACTCTCACTCTTAATATGACAGAACAGTTTCATTGACAATTTTGTCTCTGATGCTTCTCAATTTGCTTATTTCTATCTTGTAAAATCGCTTAGGAGACTCCTCATATCTACATTCTAATTAGAGTTCTACGAAATGATTTTCACATTAGTTCTCTAATTCTGAAATGTAAATATTATTGTGTGAAATTTGGGAAATGGTTTGTAATCATTATTTTAATAATTTGAGTCAAATAAATTGTCAAGTTAAATTGAATTACTGGTTAGGCACGTAAAACACTGTTCAAACACAGTACGGTTTCTTTAATTTCTTGATATGACTTTTCCTCTGCACCAGGGCTATTTCTGTGACCTAGTAAGGGTTCCAGGTGACAAGTCTCTCTTGTCTTATTCTGTCACTCAACTTGCATTTAACCAACAAGTATTGACTAAGAGCTTGTTGTAAACCCTGAAGGCTCATCAGTCATTGTGAGTTTTACAAAAAGCATTCAAGACCAAGTCCTGGCCATTTAAGAGTTTGGCGGAAGGAATGCAATTCAGAGAGAAAACAAGGGAGTAGTGAATGGGTGTGGTGGTCACCAGACTGTACCGTCCTTGAAGCCAGGACTTCACGTCAGAACCCCTTGGCCTGGCCCATGGCCCACAGGGGCCCTCGGTGGTGGAGTGAACAGAGGTTCCAGAAGGCAGGGAGGCATGGTCTTGGGGGCACAGAGGAGGCTTTGCAAAATGGCGGCACTTGCTTTGTTCCTTGAAGTACCAGGAAGCTCTCGGGAACCCCACTTGCCAGATGGCGAGAAGCATGGATGACGGCAGGTACGGTTGCAGGCCTGCTCCCTGAGTGTCAGAAGGGGGGTGCAGTGAGGATGGGGTGATTTAGGCCCTGTGGGCAGAATGGACAGGGGCCTGAGGGGAGCCAAGGGGGGACGCTGCCACAAATCTCCCAACTCACTCTTACAAACAGGGCCACAGACACGCCTTCGCAGAGGAGGATTTTAGATTGGACATGCAGAGTGGGAGGGGTGGACAGCCCTTAGGGTCTGGAGCATCAGGAGGCTGCGCTGGAGACCCAGAGGTGGGATTCCTGAGAGCCACTGGATGAGCTCTCCAAGGGAAGCCATGTGGCAGGGGACAAGCAGAGACAAGGCCAGGTCCCAGGGGAGGTCCTGCGGCAGCAGGGGCATAGCGCTGGTGCACACTGATGTTAGGTTCTCACTGGGGTCAGGAATCTCCCTGGGACCCCACTCCATGTGACAAGAGTATTCCTCTGCTCTCATAGCCCTCCAGTTATGCCGTGACAGTTGGAAGGACAGACAGTACTGGAAGGGAGCACAGAGAGATGATGGAGACCTCGCTCCCCTGGCCGTCTCCCAGCCCAGGCGGGTCCACTCCTCAAGGGCACCTTCCCTTCCTGACGTCCCTCTCTGTTCGCCCCCAGTGCTTCCTACCGTGGCCACCCCCAGGGCCACTCTGATCCACAAGAATGCTCCAAGGCCCTGAGTGCTCGTCCTGGCCGCACACTGAGAGGAAGGAGCCCTAACCTTCTCCCTCACACGGCTCACTTCTTGCTCATTTCTTCCAGGGTCTCCACAGAGTGCCCCCAGGGCAAGCGTCCCTCTCACACTGTGCTGATGGCCTCTGGCATGACTGGGACACATTATCGTGCTCACAGACACTCTGTGTATCCATTTTACCAAAGACCCTTGTCCTGGCCCAGGGTGGCAAGATGGGGCATAGGAAAGAGCAGAGGAAGACATTCCACTCTGAACACGACAGTGAGGCCAGAGAGGCTGCACAGAGCTGCTCTCTCCCGCTGTGCTCACAGGCTCAGAGCTTATGGCTCAGCAAGCAGGAGCAGGAGCGGCTCTCAGTCCTCAGTGCTCAGCCTCCCCTGCCTCCCCTGCCGCCTGCCCACGCAGAGGCAGGAAGCAGTTTGCAGAACATCCTGAGCCCCCAGTCTTCCTGGGAGAGGCTCACGCCCCTGGGGCTTGGGGGGTTTCCTGGTTTAAACCAAAGCTGTGTGTGTGTGCATGTCTGCACGTGTGTGCACCTGCACGGGTGTGCGTCTGCACATGTGTGTGCGCCTACACGTGTGCGCCTGCTTTGCCACAGTGGCTGAAGGTAAGGGGTGCAGGGAGAGGAGCAGATGGTCAGCTTTGTGCCCATGGTGCCCAGGCAGGGATGCTGATCAGGAGGAGCTGGTGCTCTAAAAGGTCCATCCTGCGTAGGAGGCTCCACCAGGCTTCCCGCCAGAGACAGGTTGCCATGGAAACAGATACACGTTGCTTACCTGGAAGGGAATATCTGTGGTTTATGGGTGCGTTAATAATGTATCACACCAAAATCTAGAGACAGAGACAACCGTAAAGACTTACTGTGCCACGTGGAGTCTGTGGGCCGGGAACTGGAAGGCGCCGTCGCTGGGTGGCTCTGGCTCAGGGGCTCCTCAGAGGGTGCTGTCCAGGTATGGGCTGGTGCTGCAGCCATTGGAAGGTTTGGCTGCTCCTGGAGGATGCACTTGGAGCTGGCTCGCTGGCATGGCTGGCAAAGGGGTGCCAGCTCTTGACAGAGGCTTCCGGTACCCGCAGGGGCCCCTCCACAGTGCTGCCTGCCCATCCCCCTGACCTGGCAGCTTCCCCCGAAGCAGAAGCTGCAGCAACTTTTATGACCTGACTTTGGAAGTTAACTCCGTCATTTCTGCAGTGTCCTTTGGTACACAGGCCCTGCCCGTCCAGGGTGAAGGGCCTGGAGGCAGGAACATTGGGGCCTTGTGGAGACTCTACCAGAGAGGGCTCAGCTCCCGTAACTGGGCTTCTTCAACCTGGTGTTGCTGCCTTGAACCTTGGTTTGCCCCAGGCTTTGAGGAAGCCTGAGGTCAGGGCTGTTCTCTGGGTCACTGTGGAGTGGCTCTCCCAGGCAGAGGCTCATCTTCCTAATCAAATCTGTTCTGTGCTCTTTCCTTACAGCATTCTAGCTTTCACTGTCAGGGGTAAAATCAAATCAAATGGAATCTGCTAAAACAACTATTTATCGCTTAGCGCTAGTCCCGAAATTATGAGCTCCCGGCTCTCTGCAGGAAATTGGTGTCCGTGAAGGTGGAATTTAACTGGCTACAAATACAGCTGCTTCCCAAGGAAGAGGCCCCCGTGATGTGGCCCTGAGCATCCGGCATGCAGCCCCCTGGGGGAGGCTCACCGAGTTCCCACACCCAGCTGGAGAGCCTCTGTGACTCTGTGTTTGCGCTAGCCTCTCGTCGGGTCTCCATGTCTGCTGGTTCTGCCAGCGGTCCTCTTGGAAGGGAGGTGTGAACTGTTTGAAGTTGGCTGGGTCCTGGTGTGTGGCAATGACGGAGAGGAGGGAAGGAAGAGCTGGGGGCCCACTCGGGTGGGTCTGGCCTTCGGCTTGGTGCTGCAGGTCCACGGTGGTGGCTAAGTGCTGCTCTGCCATCCCTCTGAGCCACACTCCAGAGCCCAGTTAGGTCCCAGAATGAGTCTGAGGGGATGGTGGAGGCCCGAGAGGCCCAGGAGCGAGGCCCCACCGTGTCATACACAGCCTGCGAGGAGCCTTCCTTCTCCCTTGGCCAGGACAAGCTGAGCAGCCTGGGAGGTGAGGCGTGCTGCCCACAGGGCCTGGTGCTCCTGGTAAACTCCTCTCCCTCCCGGGGCAGGGGAGTGGGCCCCGGCCGGCCTGTGTGTGTGCCCTGGCTGGGGCTGCCCTGGGGCCCAGGCAGGGGCTGCCCTGAGGCCCAGGCAAGGGAGACTCTGTGGGAGTGTGGGCCGGGCTCCCACTCTCAAGGCCCCAGTCAGCCACCTCACCAGCGTTTGCTGGTGTCGGGTTTCTGTTTTGAGAAATGAAACACATGCAGTCTGTCAGCAGACAGAGCTGCCTCTGTACTGCCCAGGGGGTGGGAATGCGTGAGGGGGACAGGATGTCCCGGGTGCCTGCTGCTTAGCTGTAGGGGGACAGGATGTCCAGGGTGCCTGATGTGCTCAGGCGATGTTCTGCAGAGCTCCCGGGGTCAGGGAGCGGCATGCAAGCCGGTCGTTGCCACAGAGTGATGTGCGCGGTCACCACCCAGCCCTGGTCCAGGTCTAGGCCGTTTGCCCACCACCTTGCTATGGCCCTGGTGGTCCTCCCTCAAGCTCTGCAACCTCCTCTGTGGGAGATGCACAGGTGAGGCAAACACCTGCCCGTGATCCCCCCACTTGGCCTCCTCCCCACCCAAGTCTCGCCCTTGCCTGCCTCCCGCCTCCCTGGCCGTCCTCCTCTGGTTTGGTCCTGACTGAGTCCTCCCCAGCCCAGGGCCATCGTCCACCTGGGGCGCTGGCAAGCTGGCTCTGCTGTTGTGCTGAGGTGGGCAGAGAGCATCGTGGCCTTGTGACTCGGCAGCTCACGGTGCTTTGTGCCCCATGGTCGTGACATGGGAGAGGGTACCCACGTCGCGGCAGGCCCAGGGGATCCCAGATCTGTGGTGCCTTTAAAGACTGGGAGGAAAGACAGCGAGATGCGGGGCGACTCCATGGTAGGAAGACGGGCAGAGGATCCCCGTATTTTCTAAATACCAACAGTGGGCATATGTCCCTCCTTGATTGGGAAGAGAAGGGAGTCGCTGGTGAGCCAGGTGTCTGAGAATCCCTTCACCTGTGAGATGGACCACCCAACGCTGGCAAACCTCGCAGGGAAAAGCCAACGGAAGTGTTTGATCACTAGCTCATGTGACGCCCTGGAGCCAGGGCCCAGACCTAGGAAATGCCTTTGTCAGTGTCAGGACAGCTGGCAGGCTGGTGGCAGGTCTCTGCACATGTCTCCCCTGGCACCCGCAGGGTGGCTCCCCCAGTATTGTCAGTGTGCCACTCTCTGGAGTAGTGGATCCCAGCTGCTACTTTCCCTGGCGCCATCCTGGGGGGACCTAAACCGTGTTCAGCGGTGATGCCTGTCATGGGTCTGCTAGGCGGACCACACTCCGAATCCCCGAGTGATTGTACTGAGTGTGCGATGGAGAAGGGGAGGCGTCCGGTCAGGAGCAGCTCCCCAGTGCTTTCCTGGACTGTCCTCAGACCCACAGCGCCAGGCGCCCTGCCAGCTGGTTTCCATGACCCCCAGGTGACTGCCACTCACACTAGGGTGAGAACCCCTGAGTTACCAGACTTGAAGGAGCCTGAGGTGTGGGGAGGGCAGCAAGCCAGGTTCACAGCCGTGACGGGGACCTCAGTTGCCCTCTGTGACGCAGACGTCGGTTTCCCTCTGGGTTTGGTATTTGGGGTTTTCTGTTGTCCATAGCCATGAGTATAACTGGTTTTACTCCATGTGACACTGCAGTTTCAAACGGTTTTTTTAAGGTAAAGAGGTTTTGTATCAGCAGGTGGTTAATTTCTAAGCAGGAAGGGCTAGGATGGGGATGAGAACTGGCCCCTTCACTGGGCCCTGCCCTCCAGGCCACGCATGGCAGCCAAGCTTTGGTGGTTGCAGGAGGCCCTGCGGCCAGTTAACCCAGACAGCCATGGCTGGCTGGGTGACCAGGCCACCACCAATGGTGTCGCTGTCTTCGGGTCACCTCTGTCAGCACCGTCGGATCAGCAGCTGCCTCCATTGGCTGGAGGCTTAAGATCCTGATTCATGAGTTCATAAATCTTTGCTCCAATAAACTGTGCTACGTTTGATTGATCCAAGGAATTAACTAGCAGAGATGACTTCCTGAGCACGAAAGCCGAGAGAGGATCATAAATAAAACTCTTCACTGAAAATTATACAATGTTCTGAAAGCTACTTGGTGATACTTAGCCACACCTGTTGCCTGTTTAAATCCTACAGTTAAAATCAATGCCGTGTCCAGGAATCTGAGAGATCCAGAAAAACACAGCTCTAAAGGTGGGATACTGTATGATTATTTAAAATAACATTCTCATGTTATAGTCGGTGGAAGAGGCCAAAATAGAGGTTGGATTTGTAGTGTAATTGCCTGGCCATTTGTGGTGGGGGGACTTGGACCAGGAAGCAGACTCAGGTCCCCGCAGGTAAAGGAAGATGAAGATGCAGTTAGGGTAGCAGACAAGCTGAGGAGGCTCGAGCCTCAGCTCCAGCCTCCAAAGTTCATTTAGCCTCTTTTTACATACAGTCTGAACCAGAAGGCACCCTACCCCCAGGGTCATCAGTGGACGCTTGTTTACAGGCACCATTCAGGACCTCAGGTTCCTACCTAGAATCCCAGTGTGTGTGACCTTGATTACACACTACCTAGGACTCACAGCCCTGGCTACACCCTAAAAACAAACCCTAAAACACACAACGTAGCCCACTGGAAGCCTGGGCCAGGGGCCTGGCTGTGGCATTCTGGGCCTGCGGCTCCGTGTCTGTCACTGTTCCCGTGTGTCCATCTGTTGTACTTCACTTTACATGCACTTGTCTTCACCTATCCTGTACCTGTTATGTTCACCAAGAGGAAAACGAGATGGAGTAGACAGCAACTGTTATTGACTGGAATCAAGGTCACTGTCATTGTTTCTTTACATACTTGGGACTTTCTGAATGTTCTCCACATAGGCTGTAGGGTGGGTCCTGTTATCATTCAATAAAATCAACAAAATCTCAAGTTAACAAATCTCATTAAAATACATCTGTTTTCAAGAGCGGAATGAAAGAGTGATTGGAGCCAAAGGGTCTCTAAAACCGGTACCCACTGCCACAAACAGGCACAAAGTCCATGTGAGGGTGTGAAAGCAGGGTGTCAAGGTCAAGTGCAGCCAGCAGCAGCCAGAAGGAAGCTGGCACCTGGGGCTTCCTGTCACCTTCTCCTGGGGAGACCAGGCACTCCTCCCCACGTCCAGGTAACCCACATTACAGTAGAAACTAAGGCAAAGGTAATGTTGAAAATCTCTCTGAAGTAAATTCAAAACCCACAGCTAGGCGGAGCTGACCAGCAGCCTCAGGCAGAGAGACAAAAAGAATCCCCACGGGGCTGGCAGAAGGGTCCAGAACTAGGGGCTCAATCCTTCTTATTAAATTTATTTGATCACTTATTTTTGTGGTGCTGGGGAATGGACCAGGGCCCTGCCTGTGATGCCCAAGGTTCTCCCGTGGCCCTACAGCCCCAGCGGAGATGAGTTCTCACGGCCAACAGGAGCCTCCTGGGGGTTATTTAAAGCTATTTTCTTTTACTCAGTCTACTTGTCCTCGGGCGTCCAGTGTGTAGGGTTAACGAGGACACTGTACACACTCGTGGAGAGGAGAGTGGGAAAGGAACCCTTCCCTCAGGGCCTGCGTCTTGGCCCTGAAGCGGCGGAGGGGGTCTAGAGGTCCCAGCAGGAGCAGGAGGCTGGCGTGGCGCTGGTGGGGACCTCTGGGCAGGCTGACCAGCTTCTCAGGTAAACGGGGCCTGCTGTGCTTCAGGGTGGTGCTCCTGGTGCACCCTTGACCACGGCTCTGGGGATCTTGATGCCATAAGACAGTTCTGAGGTTCCCAGGCTCAGCCAGGGAGACACAGGGAGGTACCACAGCCATGTCCCTGCCCTGTCTCAGCAAGGTGCCAGGCTGCGGCCCACACTGTCCTTAGGGGCCATGCGGGTCTACTTTTTCTACTTTTGCTGTTGTGAATAGGATTTGATTTTTCAAGGTGTATTTCCGTCTCCTCCTGCCAGTCCAGCTGAAGGCAGGTCTGGCGGTTACTGAATTCTCTCATTAGCAGCGTCTTGTCTGTTCAGCTGCTATAATAACCCCAGGACTAGACGTCATGGAAACAAAAAACATTTTTTCTTCAAGGTTCCGGAAGCTGGATGCATGACCGGGTTCTGGGGAGGGCCTCCTGGGTGGTAGGCAACCAGCTTCCCCGTGTAACCTCGCGTGGTGGGAAGAGCGAGAGGGAAGTCTGGGGTCCCTCGTGGGCCACTAATGTCATTCCTGTGGGCCCAGCCTGTGACCTCTTTACCTCTGAAAGACTCCCTGCTCCAGGCACAATCACATTGGTGCTTGAACCCTTCAGTATATGAATTTCGGGGAACAGAACAGAAGTGCTAGATTTTTCCATTAATTTTCTTACCTTATCTTGTCTGCAAGACTTTGTCTACAAATAGTAGCGACTTTGTGGCAATGTATCTCTCAGATCCATTTGTACTCACTGGGAACAGAGTCATCCTAAAACCTCTAGAGGTGATGGTGTTTCAGGACATTAACCTCTAACCCAAAGATTTTTAACATCATGAATATCTGTCAAGTGTCTTTTGACTGTAATACTAGGATTATGGTGATTCCTGCTTTGAATTACTGATACGATGTGGTATTTAATGAATTTCCTAATATTAAATAACTTCTGTTCCTAAGACTAATATTTGTTGTGTGGAAGGTCATTTTCTTAATGTAATTTGAATTTATAATGCAATTTAAAAATTTGATTTATGATTAATTTTGATTTTTTAATCCATATTTATAAATAAAAGGAGACTATAGTTTATAGAAACTCTATGAGTGTCATTGCTAGGTCTGGAAACATCGTTATACCAGTGTGAGAAAATTAATTTACTGACTGTCATCTTCTGTGACCTGCAGTAATCTCTATTTAGTATAGAATGTACTCGAGACTTTGAATTTGAGTGAGCCAGTTCATAACCTATCAGTCCAGTGGTGGAGCGGTTCTTGTTTTTTGGGGTAATTGATTGATAAACATTAAAAGTTAATTGTGCTTCAGTCTATTTTGAAAATTTACCTTACCCTCAGGAAGTTCCCGGGTCCTCAGAATCACCTCTTTATTAGCAGTTACTTGCACATATGTGGCTTGGAAACTAGTTGGCAAGCATTCTCTTTTCATTATAGCGTCTCCCATTGTAACTGTTGTTTTTCTCATTTCTATTAATCTGACCGGCCAGATGGTGCTCTATTTTAGTAACATTTTGGAGAAAATATACTCTTCTATTGAATGAAAAGTTCTTCTTATTTCCTGTTCTCTGCTCTAGTATTTTCCCTTGGTCTGCGCTGCACTTCCCCTCCTCTTGTGATGAGGGACATTTCTGTTACACTGGCTCTTTGGTCTTTATTAGCTAAGGGATTCGGATGTGAACCCTCTTCTCAGTGCAGCCTTTCCCTGTCCTGAGGTCTTGGTGACTGCTGTTGTCACTCGTCACATGGCCTATGATTGTGCTTAGTCTCTCTCTTTTTCGTAGCTACTCGGGAGAACGTCACTGAACATTTTTGTTCAACGTGCTGTTAATTTCTCGCCTTTGCGTTGTGATCCGAGGATGCTGGCGGGTGATGTCTTTGTGCTGATTGTGTCCATTCATGTTCAGCTGCAGCAGAATGATGCTGGGGTTGGATGACTGGCCTCCCAGTTCAGGAAGCAGAATGAGTGATGTGCCCTCTTCAGGAATGATGCTGTGGGAACCCTGTGTGTCCCTCTTTATTCTGCGTCTGCTCACACTCTCTGAGACAGGTGGTGTGAAACCGGCCTCAGTTGCTCCTCCTTCCTCTTTGTGTGTCTGTGTGTATGCGACACTGTCACTCCATCTTTGAGGGAGTGACCAACCCCTTCCGCAGAAGCCTACTCAGGTCTCTGGGTTGGATGGAGTGTGGTATCACGGTGGCCAGGTGACAGGGACCTTGCTCTTGGGGATTTGTATTCTGGTGTGAGGGGTGGGAGAAAGAGGGGAGGCCTTAAACTAACAGATAATAAATAACTTCAGATCATGTGAATTCCATGAGTTCATCCAGCAGGATAATCAATAGAGGGCAGTCCCCATGGGAACCACACAGCTTGGAACAGCTGTGACTAGCAGGGCTCTCTGAGGAGGTGACGCGGCACCACCCCTGGCTGTGGTCTGAATGCTACGTGCAGTTCAGAAATGGAAGGAGGTGGTTAGGTCCTGGAGTGGACCCTCCTGAGGGGACTCAGGGCTCTTGTGGAAGAGTGAGGTACCGAGTGCCCTTCTGCCATGTGACAATACAGCGAGAAGGACTATCCTCTAGGAAGCAGACCTTCCTGGCCACGGCTTGTGCTGGCACTTTAATCATGGATTCACGGCCCCCAGACTGTAAGAATAAGTTTCTGTTGTTTAAAAGCTACCCAGCCTGCAGTATTTTGTTATAGCATCACAAAGAGACCAGGACACCCCTAAATCATGAGAATGTTCTAGTTGTGCAAGGCATTTGTTTCTACTAGTGGGTCCTTATCCATCCTTTTCCTTTATAATAGTCTGCTTTTTTAGGTCTCTCTCTCTCTCTTTATAAGAATCATAGCATCAGATTCATCTTATAAGCCACTCTGAGAGAATCTGCCCTTTAATAGAGTAGTTTAATCTGTTGCTAATCATTTTATATCTGCTTATCCACACTCCATGGGTCCTATATTAGTATTTCTGGTTTAAAGCCATTTTCTTTTGTTTTCTGTCTTTTGCTATATTAATTGTTTCTTATATTTATCCTTTAAATTTATTAGAAAGATAGCCTTTCTTATTCTAAACCATTTTGCTACTGATTGCCTTCACCTTTATGAAATATGTATTTAAAATTATATTTGTCTAAATATCAAATCCAAGGAATCAATATCTTCCTAAAAGAAATTTTAGCTTTTCCATACTGTCTCTGTTCATTTCCCAGCGTCAGGCATGTGTTCTGTTTGTTTTTATGAATGTATTGGAATGGCTGCAGATTCACTTGCAGACATAAGCAACCATCTGGGGAGACCCCACATACCCATCACCCACTTTCCTCTCCTTTGCCTTTTGCAAACCCCCAGTTTAGATTAGGTATCCCATCTCTGAAATGCTTGGGACCAGACATGTGTTGGATTTCAGAGTTTTTTTTTTCCAGATTTTAGAATATTTACAAATACATACTCGATACCTTGGGGACAGACCAACTCTGCACACCAAGCTCACCTGTGCTAAGTGCACACCTTCCCCATCAGGCCAAAGGTGAGCTCCTGCAGTATTCCCCTTCCGCCAGCCGTTTACCGCCTGCCTCGTTCACTTTCCTGCTTGTGGCATCCTGAGGGAGCTTGAAAATTTCAGATGTTGGGGCTTTTGGATTTTGGGTCTTGAGATTAGCATACTTGATTTGTATAAAACCTTAACAGGGATTATTTTATTTTGTTTGGGGCACTAGGTGTCAACCCCAGGCCTCACAGGTGTGAGGCTGTCCCACTGATCTGCACCCCCAGCCCCACTTCCTATTTTATCTTGAGATGGGGTCAAGTTGCCCAGGCTGCCCTGGAGCTTTCGAGCCTCCTGCCTCAGCCTCCCAAACCGCTGAGATCACGGTGAGCTGTAGTCCGGCTGGGCAAAATAACTGAGAGGTGATAAGCAACTTGAAGGCTGAAGCAGGAACTACTTTATTGTGAGTGAACTCAGTAGGAACTGAGAACTCAAAGTAGCGGGCACCCAAGGTAGCAGGAGCTGCTTCTCTGCCAGACCGCAGAGGTGCATATACCCAACTAATTACACACAGCTTAACTTAATGGACATCATCTAGACACAGCAGTCAGTCATTAACGAATCCTCATCATCTTAATGGCTCACTGGCGTTGGCTCACAAACCACTCCTCCTAGCATACTGCCAGGCGCCATCTTAACTTAGTTGTGGCCCTCATCAACGGTGTGCGCCACTGCGCCTGGCTGACGCACGCCACCAGTCCTCTCCTGATGTCCCCTGACTTGTGTGTACACACCTGTGTGTTTCCTCTGCACGTTTTGTCCCATGTGTGGACCTCTGTCACCATCACCCCAAGTTCTGCCGGTCACCCTTTACGGATCCCCTCCCTCCCACCCCAGCCCCACATCTGCCAACCACTGGTCTGTCTTCCATTTCTCAAACTTTGCCATTTCCAACGTTTCACATAAATGAACTCACACGGGGGTCACCACATCATAATGCCCTTGAGACGTGTTTGAGTGCTGTTGATGTGGGAGGCCTCCTGCCTGCTCTGGATTCCGCCTCCTGCTTGGAAGGTGCTCGTGCCCACCTCCAGGGTGGCTTCCCTTCCCATCCTCTTCCCTTGGGTTTTGGCAGAGAAGGTTTTTCATTTTGATTGGGTTCAATTTATTAAATTTTCCTACTATGGATTGTAGTTTTGGTGTCAAGTCTGAAGCCCTAGATCCCAAAGGTTTTCTCCTTTCTTTTTTTCTTTTCTAAAGATTGTATAGTTTTACACTTGATGTTGAAATCCGTGATCGGCATGGAGTTACCAGTTCGCTGAGCTGTGAGGTCGGGGTCTGGGCTCTTGTTTCCCCCTGTGATTACATGGGTCCACCTCTGGGATCTCTTCTCAGCCAATGTGAGTTGCTCTTCACCACGTCCAGCCCACTCCCTCTCTTCTTACTTTTCTGAGAGTTTTTTTTTTTTTTTAATTGCTAATGAGTGTTAGATCTTGTCAAATGCTTTTTCTGAGCCAGTTGATAGGATCATATGATTTTTTGTCTTTGATTTGTGGATATGGTAGATTGCATCTGTTGACTGATTGTTTGGGGGTTTGTTTTGGACTTTCCTGTGTTTCTTTTGTGCAGTGCTGGAGGTGGAACCCGGGCCTGGGTCTTGCTGTGTGAGCATCCCCCCGAACTGTCCCCAGCCCCTCACTGCCTGTGGCTTAACCAGCCCTGCTTACTGAATCGAGCATGGCTTGGTCATGGTGTCTGATTCTTTTTGTTTATTGATGGATTCATTCTGTGAGTATTTTGTCAGGATTCTTACATCCAAATTCATAAGAGATGTGGTCTCTAATTTCTTTTTCTTTTCTTTTTGACATTACCTGTCTGTTTTTGTTATCGGGTCTCACAAAATAAATTAGGAGGGATTCCTATTTCTCCTATTTTATGAGAAAGATTGTCTAAAATTGTGCATCAGAGAAATTATACCAAGCTGGTGTTAATTCATATTTAAGTGGTAGAATTCCCCTGTCAACTATCTGGGCCTGGAGATGTCCTTTAGGTTTTGGGAGCCTTTAAATGATTAATTTAATTCTTTAGAGATTATGGGAGTATTCCAATTGTGCCTTTTGTCTGTTTTGGCATCTGCAGCCCCTCCCAGGAACTAGCTTTGATGGCCCAGGAACGAGTTCTGCCGAGTCGCTGGACTTCTGAGTGTAGGATCCTCTGCAGCTTCCCCTTATTACCTTCCTGGTGGCTGGAGTCCACGGGGACCTCCCTGTTCCCCTCCTGGCCTTGGAGATCTGTCCTCTCCTGACTGCTGATGCTGTTATTAGATGTCTGTTGGTTTCCTTTTTCCATAGGAGCTGGTTTTCTCTCATTGCCTTTCCCTGCCATCTCCTGCCTCCTGTCTCCTTGTTTCCTGCTCTCTGTTGGTTTCTCCCCCTGCCGGCTTAGGGCTTCTCATTTCCCGCCCTCCTCTAGTTCCTGGTTCTCACCGTGGAGACTTGGATATCAGTTGGTGCTGTATTTCCACTTTGGTTCTATTCTCTGTGGACTGAGGTTTTTCCTGTGAACCATGGGTTCAAAGGGCAGGTTGTCTCCCTGTACCCAGCCACCTCCCGGGTATCTCCTGCTGTGGCTTCTCAGGGGACTCCACTGTGATCAGAGGACACACTCTGCCATTTCAAAGGACATCGGCAGCTGGTTTTCCAGGGTGGCCTGTCTTGGTGAGTTTCCCACAGGCGTCTAAATCACGCACATTCCATGGCTGCTGGGAGGGGGTGCGTGTGTCGGGAGCCTGTGGGCTGGGCTTTGGGGTCCTCGGCCTCGCTGACTCTCTGCTAGTCCTGTCCTTTGCTGGATGGAGGGGGTTAAAGTTCTCAACCATAACTGAGAGTTCCTCTGCTGTCCTGCTAACTCTGTCCTTTGTGGTTTCACGTATTTTTTTTGGCCAGTCCACACTTAAGGTGGTCTTTCTGGTGGATGGATCCTTTTTACCATTGCATAATTTCTCTCTTCACGTCTAATAATTTTCTTTGTTCCAAAGTCTACTTTATTGGTTATTAATATGTCCACTGCCGCTTTTTAAAGTTGATATCTGTGCTGGGCGCGGTGGCCACACCTGTAATCCCAGCAGCTCAGGAGGCTGAGGCAGGAGGATCATGAGTTCAACACCAGTCTCAACACTGAAAGAGGCCCTGTCTCAAAATAAAACATATACCCAAAGGGCTGGGGATGTGGCTCAGTGGCTAAGCGTCCCTGGGTTCAATCCCTGGTACCTCCCTGCCCTCCCAAGCACCCCTACCCCCAAACCAAAATGCTACCTGGAGGGCATGTCATCCCCTATCCTACCGGTGCTGTGGAATTTGACGTGAATCTCCTCTCAACAGCGTGTACTTGCTGCTTTCTGCCGATACCTGTCTACTTAGTTCATTTGTGTTTATGCTAATTCTTTGGGGCAGTTTTCCTGCCGGCTTTCAGCTTGGTCCCTCTGGGTCCTGTTCTCTTGTTTCCTTGTGACCTGAGCGGGCATCAGGATCGGGGGTGCACAGGTCTGTCTGTGGGCAGTTTATGGAGTGGCTGCTCTGTGACAGCAGCTCTTGACCTCAGGACACATCCTCCTGGTCCATTTGCCATCCCTCTGTGGTCTGGACCTCCCCTCCCAGGCCCTTGTGACGTTCAGTTGCCATTGCAGCAGGGCTAGAGGTGGCCTCTAGGAGACCAAGGTCATGGGTAGACACAGGCCACCATCTTGAGTGGGCTGTCGATGGCAGGAGTGGGCTAATGGTGAAAGGGCGAGGTTGGCCAGCTTCTTCTCGCTACTCCCAGCACTCCCCACCATGTGGCTGCCCTTGCGGCGCAGCAAGAGGTCTTGGTCACATTCCAGCTGTGCTCTTGGACTTGTAGCCTCAGAACTGTAAGAAATAATCCTTCATTCTTTATAAATTAGCATCTCAGGCATCCAGGGATGGCAGCAGGAAATGGACCCAGAGGCCTCCTCCTCAGCAGCACCGTCTTGAGCCTCAGGCAGGGATGTAACTTCTGCCTCGATGGCTTTCCGTGACTCATGAAGCCCAGGAAAGGGCTAGTTGGTGCCCGCGCCTGCATTTCCACGGAGCTGGGGCCTTGCTTTCTGTTGGAAGCGTGTCCTTCAGGCAGCCCTTAGTGGGGAGTCTGAGGGTGACAAATGCCTTTTGCTTTTCTCCTCCGAGGACGTTTTGATTTCCCCTCATTCCTAGAGGATAATTTTGCCAGATATAAACCCACAGTTGACAGTTCTTTTATCCTCCAGAACTTGAGAACTTTTGTACTACTTCTGGCCTCTGTGATTTCTAAATGAGGACTCGGCTGTCATTTGAATTCCTTTCCACTCTGAGGGACGCATCACTTCACTCTGGCGGCTTTCCAGAGTTTCTCTGAGTTTTTAGTCTTCAGAAGTTTAATCATGCTGTGTCTTAGGATGGGTTCATTTGAATTTTTCCTGTTTGAGCGTTGGAACAACGCTTTTTCTTGAATCTACAGGTTTGTGCTTTTCAACAAATTTGGAAATTTTCAGCCATTACGTCTTTGAGTGCTCCTTTAATATACTTTACTTATTGTGTATTCTGGTACCGGGGATTGAACCCAGGGGCGCTTAATCACCGAACCACATCCCCAGCCCTCTTGGTTTTATTTTGAGACAGGGTCTTACTAAGTTACCTAGGGCTTCACTAAGTTGCTGAGGCTGGCCTTGAAATCGAGATCCTCCTGCCTTAGCCTTGTGCTGCCTGTCCTTCTGGGATTGCAGTGAATGTGGGTGTGGGTGTGTGTGTGTGTGTGTGTGTGTCATAGGCCCCTGAAGTGCCATTTTCTTGTTCTCTGTTTTCCTTCGTCACTCGTATGGAGTGAATTCTGTTGAAACTGATCCATCGCCACAGTGATCGAGTCCAACCTCTGTCATCTCTGCTGTCCTATCCGGCCAGTTTCTCATTTCTGCTGTTGCATTCTTCAGCTCCCTAACTTCCGTCTGGTTCTTTTTCATGGCTTATGTTATTTGTTGAGATGTCCCTTATCTTTCATTTGGCTCAGAAGAATTGGTGACTGTGGAAGCACTTTTACGATGGCTTCTTTCAAGTCCCATTGGGTGACTGCAGCCCGATCCCCCCATGGTGACCCCTGATGGTGACTCCCCCATGGTGGTGCTGGCTGGGAGTCTCTGCATCAGTGCTTCCCCTGGTAGACAGCTGCCCTGTTCAGGCTCAGAGTGCTGGTCCTGGGCTGGGGCTTGGGCACCCTGGTTTCAATGACAGTGTCATCGCAGAGCCTCTGTGGTGACACTGGAGTCAGCTTGGTTTACCTGGTGCCTCTGGGGCCCTGCTGGTCCTCCTGATGCTGCCTCAAGGAGCAGAAAGGGTTTCCTTAGGTCAAGGTGCCAGGCATGTCCCTTGAGAGGGGACTCTTGGCAGAAATGAAGAGGCTCCTGGCTCAGGGCTCTTCTGCTCGCAGGTCCAGAGCGAGCTTCCCGGCCAGACACTGTGAGGACCACTGAGTGGTCTCTGGGTGGAGCACCTTCCATCAGTGGGGACGGAGGCTTCCAGCCAGGCTGTGTGCCCAGAGGGGGTCCATCCTGCTGGGTCCTTGTGTTTCACCTGGTGGGTCAGGTTTTCTGGCCTGCCAGGGAGGGAGAGTGGGGTGCATTGGAGCCCTGGCCCATCGGCGGGCACGCCTGGTGTTTCCTGAGGGCTCCCCGTCCCATCTGGGGGAAGATGAGCCTCCTGTTGCAGGGTTTTGGAGGACAGGGGATGCCGGACAGTGCCTGTCCCCTTTTGCTGGGTGGTGGGCGGAAGACAGCCTGCCCCTGTGTCCCCCAGGGCTGGGTCCCAAGCCTGCTCCCCGCTCCCCTTGAGATCCTCCAGTGTTGCTTCATCACTTCCAGCTCTCAGGATGGAGGGGGAGCAGGCGGAGGAGGTTGATCTCGCCGCCTTGTCCTGGGCCCGAAGCTGACCGCACGGTTTCCAGGATAGTTTGGTCTTTGTGTTTAGTTTTAGGTCCACACTCAAGCCAGTTCCACGTGCTTGTCCCCAGCCTATGTTTGTCCACGTTGTTGTTTCTGCACACTCTTATACTGGAACTCTGTCCATCTCCCAGGGAGCGGCAGAGCTTTTTACTTTTTCGTGGTGGATTGGGGTTTCTTTTTACACACCACCCGGGTCTGGAGCTGGCCTGGGTACATCTGTCCCTCAAAGCACCACCTGCTGGAAGCTCCGCCCAGTGTGGTGACGTTGCTAGAGGGCGGGGCCTTTCAGAACTGAGCAGGGGGTGATGACGTCACCAAGGGCATGGCCCTCACAAGGGATCCACGCTGGGCTTTCGGAGCCTGGTGCTCTTTGTCAGGGAAGAGCAGGCCTGCCCCTGAACCTCTCTACCCTCCAATGTCGCCTTCTGCACTGGCCATCCCCCTGTGGGATCCTCCTTCAGGTTGTGAGGGCAGCTAATGGTGCTTTCACCAGAGGCCAGGCTGAAGAGGACACTTGATCTTGGACATCTACCCTCCAAAATGGTGACCTAAGTAAACCTTTTTTTCTTTACAAAGAAACTACCCTCAGGTATTTTGCTATTATTTGGCTGGAAAACAAAATGATACAAAGTCCTTTGCAAATTTGAAAATATGATTCTGTTAACTTTGCTAATAACATTAAAGTGTGGTTGAATACAGAGTTTTGGGGTCAGAGAATTTTAACTTAAGTACCGCACGATCCAATGTTCTTTTTTCATTTTTATTAACACACAGTAATTGTGCATATTACTGGGGCTCCGTGTGGTGTTTGCATACATATGTCAGCGTGCACTGATCAAACCCAGACTCTCTTTCCACTCTCCCTCCCCAGCCCCTTTCCATTACTTAGTAAGTACTATCCTGCTTTCAGGAGAACATTTTTAGCTTCCACATGTGAAAAGAGCATGGACTTTTCCTTCAGCGTCGCTTGGGCCACTTACCCTGATGTCCAGTTCCGTCACCGGGCTGCCAGGGCAGGATTGCATGCTTTCTTCCTGGCTGAGTCCTGCTCCCTGTGCGTTGGCCACCTTCTTCATCCCAGCTCTTGTGAGTGGTGCATACCAGGCCCGTGTGTGCTTCTCGCACGCCCACTTCATTTCCTTTGGAAGGGTACCCAGGAATGGGGTAGCCGATTCACATGTTGGATCCCACGTTCTCCACGGTAGAAATGCTTCATCTTAATTCATCTTCTAGATGTTCACAGTGCACTTTAGTGAAAGCCTTCACTTTAAAACTTGCTTTGTTCTGTTTAGAATGCCATTTCTCCCCGTGATGATGGGATGATGACGGGCATCCTCGCTGTGCTTTTCCCATTACTGCAGTTGGCCCTCTGTAGCCACAGCCTCGGATCCGTGGAGTCAGCCAACAGCAAACCAGACGTGCAGATTGTCTTGTCCTTACCCCCTAACGACACACCGCAGCAGCTCCCTGCATACGGTGACTGCACCGCATATACCTCATTTAGAGAGGGTTCAGACAACAGGAGCATTTGTGTCCATCATATGCAGGGACCACGTCCTCTGCGTGTGCGGGGCCTGAGCATCATGGCTGGGCATCCAGGGCCTCTTGGAGCTGACCCCGGGGAGACTGCTGGTGACTGTGTCCCTTCTGCTTCCAGTTACGCATAAAGGACAGCCTAACGGTGGCTTCAGTAATAAAGCTGTAGATCTGACTTCACGAGCAGGCGCTCAGGGCAGAGACAAAGGCTTGGAGACATCTTCCCAGGCCCCTCCGGTCACTTCCCATCTTGCCATCCTTAGTCTGTGGTTAGCTCTCCGCATCTCCGTTACCTGCCGGCCACACCAAGGCTGCTGCAGGGTAGACACCAGAGCAGGGGGGCGGGCGCAGCAGTGTGGAACCCTTCTCTGTGGGTACCCAGGGGTGGGGTTCATATGGTGGGTGCTCCTCTTCTCACACCACAGGAGAGGCCTCCACAGCCTCTCACTGGCCAGGGCAGAGCCATGCGCCTGCCCCTCGCTGCAAGGGAGGCTGGGAGAGGGGACGAGTGGAACCAGCAGCTCGCTGGGCCCAGGTCTGTGGGTCCTCTGTGGAGCCGCCACACCAGTTCTTTAAACGGACAGGACAGATGGCCCCAGCCACCGCCTTTCTCCCCGCGAAGGAGGGAGCAGAGATGCCCCTGGGGAGGCTTTCGGGTGAGTGGCGGCATCCTGTCCTCCTCCCTAGGAACAGGTTGGAGCGCAGCTCTGCTCTGTTTCCCGTGGAGCACTCACTTCCTGCCGCGTGGAGCACTCACTTCCGGCCACGTGGAGCACTCACTTCCTGCCGCGTGGAGCACTCACTTCCTGCCCGGAGCCTGGCACTGGGGCTTCCTGTGCACTTAGGTCAGACGCAGGGCACACATCCCCCCCACCCCACCCCATTGCCCTGCCTGGAGCAGCCCTTCACTGCTCAGCTCCAGTCCCCACCGCCCTCGGGAACTGTCTGTCATTTTCCTTTGCAGGTGTCTTCCTGCTTCAGACTTCTCTTATTTCGCTCGGTTCGCCTCCCGTGTGACAGGGACGACTTCCAGGCTGCGCTTCTTTCTTTTCCTTCAGGTCTTGTCCCGTTTTCTCCCTCCTTTCAACACCCCTCCACCAGTCCTGGGGAGTCCAAGCTCACGTCCTCTGCATCATGGTCGGCTCGCGGGGTGTGCGCTCCACTCACCTGGCCTTCAGTGCGTGTTGTGGTTGAGGTGTTCACTGTCCCCAGAAGCTGGTGTGTGCGATGGTAGGAGAACATCCTGGAATGACCTGGGGGCATTGGGAGATCCCTGACCTAATCAGAGCACTGTCCCCTGGTGGGGACATGCTGCGTGGTGACCGCAGGCAGCTGGGCTGGGGCTTATCAGAGCCCTTCCTCCTCCATCAGGGAGAGGTAGACTCTCCACCCTCTTCCTTATCACGTCGGAGGGCCATGCTGACGCATCCCTTCTCCCAGCAGCCCGGGACTCGACAAGGCACAGAGGCTGCCGTTGGGCCTGCTTCTCAGGGGCTGGGTTTCCTTCCTGTGGTTTAGAGGTCCCACTTGGTGGCTGCAACTATCTCCGTCCCCAGGAACGGGGCCCTCAGTGGAAACTCTTCCCAGAGTTTGGCCTGTGGTTCCCTCTTATCTTCTGCTCACAGATGGTGCTGTGCTTAAGACTGTTTCTGTGTGCATTCTGGGAAATAACCAAGGACTCTCCTCTGACGGTGGCCAGCACCCATCCCAGGGGAGGCTGCGTGGGGCTCCAGAGAAGAGCAGGGCTTTCAGGAGAGATGGCTTCACCCCAGTGCTGCCTCCTTTGGGCTGTGTGACCGTGAGCCCTGCTGGGCCCCTCTGAGCCTCGGATTCTCCTGGTCTGATAAAGAAGTCCACATGATGGGGTCCTTGTGAGCAGGGACAGGGTGTCCCAGGAGAGGGGCTTGGCACACTGTCACACTGTGCCCATTTCTCCTCCTTCTTTACCCAATGTGCTGCACAGAAGCAGCGGACGTTGAACTTCTTAACCAGTGCTGATGTCCTGGCCCAGACCAGGGCTGCATCTGAGCCCCTCCTCACATGCTGATGTCCTGGCCCAGACCAGGGGCCCTGTCTGAGCCCCTCTTCACAGCCATGGACTCCAAGTCCGAGTTCCAGCAGAGGCAGGGCTGGAGGGATCACGTGGGCAGTTCTTTGCCTGTGGGCAGATAGAGGTCCACTCTTCACTGATGGTGGCTTGTCTTGTTTCCATGGCCTCCAAAGGCAGAGGCGCCACAGAGTCGGTCCTCCACTTCTTCAGTGCTGGGCACCTATATCTCAGAGTGCAGAGGACTCCCTGGGGAAGGCAGAAAGGGAAAGGGTGGGGCCTCACCCTGGGATTGTGGACACAGGGTGGAGAGCCAGCGAAGCCAGGAGCTCCTCCACATGTTCCCTGAAACAGGACAGACCCACTCCTCTTTGAGAGGTGGGGCCAAGGCTAGGGTCACCGGCTCCAGGCCTCTAGCTCTAGGTCTGCCTCCTGGGCGCCTTCAGACTCCTCTGCCACCATTTCTGAGATGGGGATGTGATCCACCTGCCCCAGGGGTCGGGGGCCTGCAGGAGGCGTTGGACTACTTCCTGACCCACGGTGAGCACTGCTGGTGTCTGCTGCAGGATGAGGACCTGGTGACGAGAACAGCAGCCGTCACCGTCACCATCGCCAGCCCTCCTGCTGCAGACCATGGTGGTCATCTGCTGTCCCAGCAGGACGCTGAGTTCTGCCTGCCTGTCAGGGCTGCCCTCCCCGTGGCCTCGTCTGCCCGCCAGCCTCCCTGAGCCTGTAGCCTGTGCCCGGCCCCAGGGCGAGGCCCCGTTCATCTCCCTTCATCTTGCCCTGAGGAGTCACCTTCTGCACTCTGCACTGCAGATGCCCAGCACTGAAGAGGTAGAGGACAGACACAGTGTCCTTGGAGGGGAGGGAAACACAAGCTGCCATCTGGGAAGAGCAGGAGTCATCTGCCCACAGGCAAGGAGTGGCTGTGTCCTCCAGCTCCAGCCTCCACTGGCCATCCTTCAGGGTTCCTCACTCCTGCAGGACTGAGTCCAGATCCAGACCCTTATGATCTGCCGCTTTGTCCTGCCCCCAGCAGCACCTCATAGGCACCCCACTAATCTCCAGGGTGCCCATGGTCCCGGCCTTGCCCAGGCTTGCACCTGTACTCCCAGGGCCTCCCCTCAGGGCAAGCACCCACCCCTGCTCCTGGGCTGCTCAGGGAAGCAGGCGCCCGGCCACCCCTGGGCTACTCCTGACCCCGGGGTCCCTTGCAGGCCTGTGTAACAACACTGGGCCACGTCCTGAAGCCAGCAGCCTCGTGGGCTCCCAGGACGCTGCGTAGGCGCAGCTGAAGAGGTCATCGACGCACCGCTTCCCCTCTGTCCTCGGCCATCCCTCTGAAGTGTGTCCAGCCAAGTGACGTCATTCTGCCCCTGGATGGCAGAGCTGGCAGGCCTACAACTTTTGGTCCATAAGAATTTTACAAATTAACTATTTTACTCATCACAGAGGAGTCCTGAGCAAACCGGAGGAGCTGGGCTTGACGTCACATCCGTGTGCAGCAAGGGCCTGGAGCTGCGGCCTTGGCCTCGGCCCTTGCCCTTCTAGGCCGGTGGCCCAGGTTTCCCGCCCCGTCGGGGGGCGCCGGCCTTGGGTCTGACTGTTGTTCGCGGGTTGTGCTTCTGCTGCAGGTGTGTGCATGGCAGACAATAGCGGGCTCACGACTGCACAGCAGGCAGCGGCTGGAGGTGGCCGGCAGCCCCGTGAGAGCCCTCCCTCCCCGCAGGGGATCCCCACGCTGTGTGGGTCTGACACCAAAACCCACTCAGGTGGTAGCAGACTGCAGCTGGCTGCTTTGGTTTCCCCAAAGACATGGGTAAGACCCGTCCTCGTGGCCGTGCATATGTCTGGTGACTTGGTCTCCACAGAGCACAGCTCCAGGACCCCACAAGGACACCAACCCATGGACTTACGGTGGCTCACCTCGGGTGGCGTGGTGCTGCGTGCACCCTGCCCCATCTTGCGTGTCCTCTGAGTCACCTCCAGAGGCCGGAGCACCACGAGTGCCGAGTAAATGTGCTCTGCTGCTCTGTAGAGGAAGTCGTCAGCCGGAGAATCTATGAGTTGAGAATTGGCACAATTAAAAATATCGTCTTTATATTTGTTTATGAAATATGAATTTCCATTTATTAGTATTTATCTATTTCTATAAATACATTTCTCTGCATAAAATAAAAGTTGGTTGATTCCATGACTGTGGCCCAGGGCCGTGTGAGTGCTGAGGGTTCTGGTCTCACGCACCCCAAGAATGAGTGCAGAGGGTGAGAATTCAGCAGCAGGTTGTCCCAACAGTGAGGCCGGCTTCCCAGCAGGGCGTGGCCCCAGGAGGGCAGCTCTGGGGGTCTCTGTCCAGGGAACCGTGCTGCTCCAGGGAAGAGCCACCTTTCCCTGGAGCGCCCCTGACGGCTCCCTGACTCTGACTCCGCTGAAAGGGTATTTTAATTTATTCTTCCTGAATGGGGATGACTTAGTGTACTGTCCACGTCTGTCCTGTACTTGTCCTTAAAACAAAAGAACTGCTTGGGTCAGAACAACTCTGTGGGTGACTGATGTCAGGGTATTTGATGACGCCTGGGGTGGCACAGAATGTGTGGGCCTCCGATCAGGCAGTCAGACACAGAAAACAGGCTCTAGCCCAGGCTCTTGACCTGGGGAGGTAGGGTCCACTCTGCAAGGTCCCGTCTCCATCAGCCCAGAGGCAGTCTACCTCTGGCCTCGCGCCAGACCCCACAGACCCACAGGGCCAGCAGTGCTCCAGTGCACCTTCATTGATGTGTCCAGTCTTGCATCACTGGTCACTTGTGCAAGCAAAAAGAACCAAAGCCTCTCAGCATCATCATGGAGGAAAGCAACCCGGACGGAGGCAGCCTCCGCAGACCAGCTCTGCCTTGTATTCAGCAGCTCAGTCAGTCAGAGGGTCACTTTCTGGGTAGAAAATGGCCCCAATTACAGGAGGAATCTGTGCTTATGTAGGTCACACAGGGGGACCACTGGACCATGCAAGACCTGGACAGAACACATCAGTCGGGGCACTCAGGAAAGTGTTGCGAGCATTTGAAATGTGTTTTTCCTGGGCAAGGATGGCGGGTCCAGCGCTCAGCATTCAGTGCTTATCTTTTTCCCTCCAGGGCCCGCTGCACTGTCCCTGGGAAAGGATTTACTTGGGGGAATCAATGTTTCGGGTCCTTCCCAGAGACTGCCATTCTAGGCTGGATGGATATCTCCTTCCCAGGGACTGTCCTGCCCTGGGGAGGGACGTGCTGGGAAAGGACCAGTGCTACCAGTGTGTTGCCCCCTCCCTCCCTCCTTACCCCCCTCCCTCCCTCCCTACACCCATCCCTCCCTCCTTCCCTCCCCCCTCCATCCCTCCTTCCCTCCTTCCCTAACCCCCTCCCTCTCTCCCTCCTCCTCCCTCCCTCCCTCCCTCCCTCTCTCCCTCCTCCTCCTCCCTCCCTTCTCCTCCCCCCTCCTCCTTCCTCCTCCCTCCTCCTCCTCCCAGGCCACTCTGTGTTGGGGTTTCCATATCCTCCATCTGGTTCTGTTTCCAGGCTCTGGTCTGACCACCGTGCTGCCCTGTGACTCCCAGGCCCTGTGGCAGGTGGGGCAACCCCTGTAGGCCCCTCCCAGCTCCAGCTCCAGAAAGGACAGCCGACTTATTTCCCAGAGCTTTGCTGCCACCACAGTCTCCCCTGTGCCTTCCAAGAGCTCCCATTTGCCCACCTCTGTGGTGGCCGCACCTCTGCCCTGAGGCTGGTCTCAGGGCGCTCTGCCTGTCCTGCTTATTGACCGGCAGGGCTTTCTGGCTCCTGACCCCTGCCATGACCTTTGTCAACTTGTGGCTCGGTGCTGCGCCTGCCTCTTGTTGATCTGTTCTGACTTAGTGTCCTACCTCTGGTGACTCGGTGTCCTGGGCAGCAGCAAAGGTAGGGAGAAGGTTCCAGCCGAAGTCGGCCTAGATGGCCAGAGACACAGCCAATCATGGCATCCCCAGGAGAGAGAGGCCTCCCGCATGTCCCCAGTGGAAGACCTGGCAGTGAGGGAAGGGGCAGAGAAGCCCAGAGAGCAAGGACGGCAGCCGCGTGGCCACGTAAACCTGTGGCCGATACCCGGCACTGGCTTAGCCAGTGTCCCTGGGGTTGGTCAGCACCATCCTGATGATGTCCCTAATACAAGAGTCAAATTAACCCTCTACACAGATCCCAGATACTTCTCCAGTGCTGGTGGTCAGATGTGGGTTGAATGTGTCCCTGAGGGCTCAAGTATCAGGAAGTCCATCCCTTGGCAGTGCAGGGAGGTGGTGGACCCTTAATGAGTGGGGCCTGGGGGGGTGTCCTTAACTCCTGAGGCCCTGTCCTTGGGTAGAGTTAAGGTGATTTCTCTGGGACCCCAGAGTTAGTTTTCTCCAGACAGTGTCCTAAAGGAATGACCTCCCACCCCGGCTCCCTCCCTGGGGATGGGTTCCTCCCTCTCTCTGGCTTCCTCTCTGGGTGGGTCCCTCTCTGGGGAGGGGTCCCTCCCTCTCCCACCTCTCCCGGTGCTTCCCATCTATACCACCTGCTGTGGCCCTCACAGGGGCCAAACCATTGGGCCACCCATTCTTGGGCTCCCCCAAACCGTAAGCTAACAGCTCCCTTTTCTTTCTTCCTGGGGGGCCTGCCTCAGGCCCTCTGTGGGGAGAGGCAGAGGAACACACCCTCACACTTGATTTCTGCTCTTTTGCACTGGGACCCTACAGAGCTCTCACTGAATCTCCCTTTGGATTACTGTTTATTCCTGGGTGAGTGGGTCCTAAGCCACAGCACCCTTGGACCCTGACCAAGCCTTTAACTCTTCTGGGCTGGATTCCCAGGATTTCCTCAGCCTTCTCCTTCACAGGGTCTAGAAATGCCCCTGGGGTCACACTCTGCGGGTTCTCTGCTCTCCTGCGGCCCAGGCTGAGCCCCGCGCCCTCCCGGGGCGTTTTGCCTGAATTCCCTTCTCTAGTGAGGCAGCCATGGTGCTTTTTAAATTCTTTGCAAGAAACGGTTCCTTTGAGTGATTTTTTATACTTAATAACTTATAGGCTTTTCTTAGGTTAGCTAGAGATTAATCTGCTTTTTAAATCTTCTGGTTTGGTTATCATCCCACTATTTTTAGACCATTTTATTAATGCTTTCTCTTTCACATTTCTATTTTCTACCTTTCTGTGTATTTTCACCTGGATTTTCTTGATAAGCAGCCTATAGCTGTATTTTAAGATATCCAACCCAACAGGCTTTGTCTTAGAATAGATGAGGTGAAGTTTAACCCGCATCCCCCTCTGTGTGGGGGCTGCAGACACTGGAGACGCACCTGTACTCTCCTCATGTTGTGTGTCCGGTTTCCACTGGGTGGATGCTCTTATCCACTGAACAGATGAGCTGTCCCCAGACCCTTTCTCTTTCTGGGGTTGCAAGCTATAAATCACGTTTCTGTTGAATACACTTGTTTTAACTCTTCTGTGCAGTTCAGAATCCTTCAGCGTGTCTGTGACCACCAGCAGCCACCCTTGTGTTCTTGGGTACTGGTGTCCAGAGTCTTGGTGACCCTGACAGGACCAGGGGTGCAGTGAGATGGCCGGGCAGCTGGGCCAGGGCCTGCTGGAGCTTCGCCTGCTTCCTTTGGCCTCCCTCCTGCCGGCTCTGTGTCCCCCACAGGGGTGGAGAGAACTGTGTGGCCTTCTCTGTGTGTGGGGACCCTGAGCCTGTTCGGCCCGCCCTCCCCCAGGGCAGCTCCACAGGGATGCCCGGGAGGGTGACCTCAGCACCTGGGATGTCCATGGAGGGTGACCTCAGCACCAGGGATGCCCGTGGAGGGTGACCTCAGCACCTGGAGTATCCATGAAGGGTGATCTCAGCACCAGGGATGCTTGTGGATGGTTATCTCAGCACCGGGGGATGGTTGTGGAGGGTAACCTCAGCACCTGGGATGTCCACGGAGGGTGACCTCAGCACCAGGGATGCCCGTGGAGGGTGACCTCAGCACCTGGAGTATCCATGGAGGGTGACCTCAGCACCAGGGATGCCCGTGGAGGGTGACCCCCGCTGAGGCACTGCCTCATGAGGGTGTATTAGTGGCTCAGGTCCCCGAGACTCAGGCCAGTCTCAGCCGTGCAGAGGGAACGCTGATCGCTGGGCGCTTCTTTGGCAGTAGCTCACGCAGATGTTTGCTGGCTCCGGCTCAGGAGCTGGTGGCATGAGGACATGAGGACGGTGGTGTGGCTTTTCCTTGCTTTGCTTTGGCAGCACTGTGGCAATGTGTGTCCCACCACCTGTGGGGCGGACAGGTCAGGCTGAATGCCATGTGCCAGCCGTCTGACTGTCGAGTCTGGGGAGGAAGCAGGGGTCCCACCCCTGGGGGTCGTCCTTATCAAGCTCACGTGCGTTCAGATGGGTCAAGTGCCCGTCCAGTCCCGGTTCTCCTGCCCTCTGGGGATCGACTCGGCCCTTCCCACAGCCCTCCCTCCTCTGCACAGAACCTCCTGCGGGAGGCTGTGGAGGCAGCCCTCACCCAGGGATGGAGGCCTCTGCTGCCTCTGGGAGAACTACAGAGCCCAGCCCTGAACAGTGTGGCCCAAACCACCCTCATAACTTACCTGACCTGGAAAAGTGGCCTTCCCTCTAGTCCTCAGTCCGCCTGCTCAGGGACTTTGTGGTGTCCATGACCCTGTCCTCACATTCCTCAGTGGTTTACCCTGCAAAGCACTTTCGTTCTTAACTGAAAACATCAACCAAACAAAGTCAGAGGCTGACCCAGGCCCAGTTACCAGGAAAAAGCAGGAGTTTGTCCTGAGGACGCTCTGACTCCATGGTGCGGTTGGGAATGATGTCCATGAGCCTGGAGTCCGGGGCAATTAGGCTGCACTCGCAGGGGACCCTTCCTGTGTCTGCAGCAGGTGCCACAGAGAGGGCAACGGAGCAAGAGGGTAAGAGTCAGCATGGCAGAGGGCCAGGCCCGGAACCTTTCGGAATACACGGGTGCCTCAGAGGCCCAGGGGAGACGTTGGCTGTGGATCCCGACAGGAGAACTGGTGAGGGTGGCGAATGGGAGCAGGGACGCTCCGGTCGAAGCTGGCGTTGGATTTAGACTTCATTCTTTTTAACTCTGAGAGCAGAGATGCCACCAACCAGAACAGCCAGTGTCCCATTGACGCACAGGAGGCCGAGGCAGGAAGCTGTGTGCATCCTTCCTCGAATGTCCTCGGCCTCCCTCTGGGCAGCTGATCCTGGTCAACGTGGCTCAGGCTGGGGTGAGCCTTGTGGAACAGACAGAGCCACCCTGGGTCTCACTCCCCGGGGGACAGAGCTGGGGTGGGTTTGCTCAGAGGCTGGCACCTGTGTGCCCAGGCACCTTCCTTTCTGCTGGGGACTCGAGCCCGGGCGCGTTGGATCTGGTAGAAGCCACAGCTGGTGGGGTGGCTTTGGCAGCCAGGGGAGGCCCGCTGTGGCTCCAGCTCCAGGACAGGGCCTTCCTCCCAGACAGAAGGTTAATGAGCAGCGAGCAGGCTGCACAGGAACATCCGTCCCACCTGCTGAGTCGCTGCCCAGTGCAGCCCTGTGGGCCTCCAGCCCAGTGCTGGCCTGAGCAATCACTGCTGCCGTCCAGCGGGGGCGGGTGCCCAGCCCGAGCAGAGCTTTGGACCAGGTTGTGACCGTCCCTTCTCCCACAGCACCAGGACACTCCTTCCAGCTGAGAGCAGGCTGGGGAGGAGGACCATCTGCTCTGTCCACAGCTCAACAGCTGTCCCCGCACGTGCCTGCCCCTCTATTCTCAGGCCCCCAGGTCACAGAGAACCACAAAGACCTGTCCCACCCACTGTTCCATCTAGAGCCGCTCGGGACAGAGGGTCAGTTAGCACTGTAGCAGAACAAGCTCCCAGGGCTGTGGGAGCCAGGGAGACCTGACCACATGCTCTGTCCCCAGGGGAGTGAGACCCAGGGTGGCTCTGTCTGTTCCACAAGGCTCACCCCAGCCTGAGCCACGTTGACCAGGATCAGCTTCCTATTCGCTGCGTCTTTCACAGAACCACATGGATTCAGACCCCGTAAGCCAGGCCAGCCTGGGCTGGTTAGGAACGTGGCATGATTCAGGCATTTTCAAGAAGTGGGGTCTGAGCACATGGTCCCCCGTTCTCGCGTGTCTAAGGTAATTGGAACTAACTGCTACTTTTGCAAAGTGTTTTTAAATGGAAGCTCTGAGACACATGGGTAATTAGCATCCTTTTATACCCTCAATTAAGCTGCCAAAGTCCCTTGCAGTTTTCTTTTTCCTGGAGTTACTTAAACATAGCTGTGTAATTCTGTTTACCCTATTTGTTTACCCAGCCAGCTCTTTTTTTTTCCCCCAGTGATAATGAAGATGAAGTCTTGGGCCCTCGTCGCATGAAATTATCATAAATTTTAACTTTGCCAAAATTCTTAATGAGAATGTGTAGTTTGTAAATGCAGCTCTGGTTTCAAAGGCCCACGTCTCCAGCAAGCAGGGGACACACTATTCCTGTTGTAACTGTGTAGTGGGTGCCGTGGACATTGGCTCACGGCCCTGGGTCCTTTGCTGCCTTATCTGTTGTTTCTATGTCGTCAGCAATGAAAGTCAGGAACACTGGAAGCAGGGCTCTGTTTTTAGGAGATGCACTGGCCAAGCGGGGCGGGCGCTTTTTGTGAAGTATACCGAGCACCTTCTTGTGCTGGGTGCTCAGAGACCATCGATTGGAATACGTCAGCCTCTGCTCACCGGCTGGGGGTGGGGGATTTGCAGAAGCCTCTCCTGACTTGCTGGACAACCCCTGGGGCTCAGTGCGGTGGTCCTGACCCTCTATCCCCTTTTCCCCTTTCTACCATGTGACTGCTACGAGCTGCAGAATCTGGGGAACAAACAGAGGTCTGAAGAGATGGCTCTGTGCACACAGGTCTGCCCATCAGCTGAGCCTGCCGGTGCTTGGCTGCTGGACAGGGATCAAATCTGGGAAGCTAAACACCCATCGATCACTGCCAGGCACCCATGCAGGCGAGGCACCAGGTCAGAGCCGCATGGTTGTCCACAGAGAGGAGCATTCAGACCCAGTGGCTCCCTAAGTGGGAATCACTGCTCTCGTCCTGAAAACCCTCTTGGTGAGGTCCCTCAGCTTTGCCTGACATGGTCACTCCTGGCAGAATACTCTTGGAGAAGTGGACGCACCTTTGGCCGAATCATCACACTTTACGGCTCCTCTTCTGGGTGTGTGCAAGAGCTGGACTCTTTCCTCACAGATGAAAACAGAAGAGAAGGTAAAATTGTTCTCTTTCGGGTATAAACTAAAACAAAAAGATAAATCAGACCCGTGATAACTTGAGGTCTTTGTGGCAGAACAACATTCCAGTCAGCTGTGCGGTTTCTTCTCTAAGCATCAAAACGAACAACTCAACACCTGTGGGCGTCCAGAGCCGGTGAACGTCAGCTTTAAGCTCTGGGCCTGAGGACCCCTGGGCTGCGGGTTTTGAAGGATATGAAAATCCAGGCACATCCAGGTCCAGATGTCTGGAGGCCTTGGGTGTCCTTTGTTGGGTCCATTTGTGACATTGAGCCGTTTCCCTGCTTTTCACTTGGGTTGAAGGTGGACTGACTGAATTCTCAGGACCGCCATCCTGCACTCTACGTGGAGATGACGATACCACCCTGCTCCTTGGGTTTGCCAAGAGGGTCCAGGGAGACAATGTGTGTGAACTCTCTGGTTTGGTACTTAGCACATAGTAGGTGCCCAGGAAATATTCATTGGTTTTGAGTTGTCCTCATTTCCACTCTAAATTCCTAGGCCTGACTTAATGTTTAGAAATTACGGATGTAAATACGTGTTTCAGTCAGATTTTTTTGCTGCTATGACCAAAAGTCCTGACAAGAACAGTTTTAAGGAGGAAAACTTCATTTGGGGGCTCACAGTTTCAGAGGTCTCAGTCCACAGACGGCCGACTCCGTAGCTCTGGGCTGGCAGAACTTCATGGCCGAAGGGCGTGAAGGAGGAGAGCAGCTGGGGACCTGGCACCAGGAAGCAGTCAGCGAGCTCCACAGGGACAAAGTGAATCACAGGGCACGCCCCCAGGGAGCCACCTGCCCACGGTCACCACCTGGGGACTCCCTACCTAGGGATCCGCACACTCCTCACCGATCATTCACCCCAGCCCTCCTGCCCGTCTCCCCCAGGAGCCCTGGGCGTCCCTGAGACCGAGGCAAACAATATTTTTGCTACAGAAGGTGTTCCTCGGGGTCGGGGAGGGTGCCAGCAGTCGGTGGGTCAGGCAGGTGCCTCCCAATGCCTTCAGTTATCTCCTCTTCCCGGCCTGTTTGTTCGGTGCCTTCGAGCGGCCGCCCTGCCATCCTGCTTGCTGGTCTTTTCCTGTTGGGCAGTGCCCTGCGGCGGTGCTCAGCCGTCCATCAGTGTTGCTTTATCCCTTCCTCTGCTCAGCTCCTAGTTTGACCGACGCTGTCATCGGGGTCTCCCTCGCGTCTGCCAAGCCACTCGTGAGCCAAGCCACTCAGCCCGGGCATCTGGGCCTCCGCGCAGCCTGAAGTGGGCTTTCGGTTTTGCAGGACCAGCCAACCGCAGGCCCCTGGCGCTGATGGAAGTGGTTTTCCGATCGTGGGTCTAGCTGCTGGGTAGTAACTGGGCTTTGTCACACAGGAGGGCGCCCGGGTGGTGCTGGCTGGAGCCCTTCACAGATAGGAGCACTCCCTTTCTCTCTGGCTGTTGAGAAGGCCACGGGCTGACTGCCCAGGTGTTCAGGCCCAGGGGCAAGGTGGGCGATCACTGCACCTTCCATTCAGAGCATCTGCCGCCTGCCCGCTCCTGGAGGGCACCCAAGGGCAGCTGCTGCACGAGAGCAGCGTGCGTTTTGCAAACACGAGGCCTTAAATCTCTAGTTGCAGTTTTCCATTTCATTTCTTAAGGGCCTGGTTCTAAGGTAGGTGTCAGAGTGTCTCCCAGCTCTGGCCTCTGCCCCTAACATGCTGAGATTGGGACAAACCTGTGGGTGCAGAGGAAGATGGTGGCGGGGCTCAGGCGAACCAGCTCCTGTTGGGAGGGCACCTACTGCCTCCTCCTAGGGGTAAAGCACCCTCGAATCTTGGGATGAGAAGAAACCAACCGCGTGTCTGAATGAATCCGTATGTGAGACCCTTATCAAAGACCTCCGCACTATGCGCTCGATCATCACCTCCGCTGCCCCGAGCCCCGTCTGGCTGCAGTGGTGCTGTGTGTCCGGGCCGTGCTGCGTGGACACGCTCCTTGCACACAGGACTCAGGGATTCCACAGCAGCTGCACCCGCTGCCCATCCTGACCCAGGGAGAAGGCGGGATTAGCGTACTTCCCATCTACCCGACCCCACCAGGAGGTTAAGAGCTGACTAATAACCTCAGGAAAGTCATGGGTGCAGAGTCCACATGCCAACAGAGCAGCACCTTCATATGTCAAGAACAGACTTGCTAAAACAGAGGTCGCTAAAGCTGTCCCTTCTAGAGCAGTGACGACGAGGGCAGGGGCAGTGACCCGGGCAGCCTGGTAGAGACCTGGAGACCAGGGAGACCAAAGGCAGGCCAGAAACCCGGGACAAACCATGCACCTGCAGCCACCCGACTTTGCCAGGGGCACCAGAAGGACAGCTCCCCAGGAGTGGTGCTGGGGGACCAGGGTCTGTGTGCAGGAGGATGAGGTTTGGCCCCCTCTCCACGCACAAGAATCAGCCCCAAATGGGTCGCCAACAAATGCAAACCCTGAAGCCAAAGAACCACGGCAAGAAAATCCCGGGAAATGCTTCAGGACCCGGCAGAGGCCATGGAGTTTTGGAAACAAGAAACAGAAACACAAATAAATAAAAGGATCATAACAAACTAGGACGCTTCTGCACAGAAAAAGGACCCGTCAGTACAGCGGAGAGGCAAGCCTCCTTCTGAATGGGAGAAAGTGTCTGCAAACTGTCCGACCAGGGCTGGGATCCCTGATTTTCTCTGTCTGTGTGTCCACTGGTAGGAACTCAGAAAGCTCAACTGCAATGGAAAAATTGGGATGAGCAAATGATCTGAATAGACACATCTTAAAAGAAGAAGAAGAAATCTGGGGCATCAGGGAAATGGCAATCTAAGCCACAACGAGGTACTGCCTCAGCCCAGCCAGATGGCTGTGAAAAATAATGAGTAAGTCCATAGCAAGTGCTGGTGGACGGGGAGCAAAGGGGACTCTTGCACACCGTGAGTGGGAGCATATGCCACAGTGTAGCCCTCACAGGGAACACTGTGCAGTCCCCCAGAAAACTGAGATTAGATCCACCCATGACCTCGCGATCCCACCAGTGGCTGCACAGCCAGAGGAGGTGGAATGGGCACCTCAGATCCCTCCCACCAAGTTCATAGCCATGGCACTCGCAGCAGCTAAGACGCGGGCTCAACCTCAGGGCCCATCACAGATGGACGGATGAATGGGACGTGTGTGCACATGACGAATGCTCTTCGGCCATTACAAAGAATGACATTCTGTGGTTTGCAGCAACATCAATGGAGCTGGAGGACATTGTGTGATGTGAAACGAGCCAGTCACAGAACAGCACACGGTCCTCTCTCTTCTGTGGAGGCTAAAGAAGGTCCATCTCAAATTG